GTAAGACTCTTCAGAAACTAAAAGTGTAAACAGAAACAATAACAAAGCTGTAGTGTGATCTTCCTGCTGCCCTTTGGGCTACAAAGTATGTAATACACAGCCTATGAGCCTACCTGGCGCTGAAACGCTTCTGGAAGCAGGGGAGTATTCGTTTGGTCAGGGATATTTTTGTTGTAATTCTAATTGCTGAAAAAAAAAAGGTCCCTGTTTTCTAGCATTCAGGCCGTGATGCACATCCCTGCAGTGACACAGGGGGTGCGTGTTCCTGCGGTGCCAGCGTTAAGAGCAGCTGTGCGGAGCGTGAGGGAAGGGCATGGGTGCCGGGACCGCCGCGCTGCTCCTTCTGCACCACGCTGAGGGCCCGTTCACCTTGCGGCGAGTGAGCTGTCTTTGTTGGATCAGACAGGCCAGCAAGCCCTGTGTCAAAAAGGGCCTTTTACATTTTGTTGTTCTAGCAGCTGGTTCTCTTCCATTGCTTTTGCTTACTGTACATCTGCAAGAAGACTTCCTGCAGCTGGGAGCCATTTCATGTCTAACCCACATCCCTCGTCCCTAGCAGAAATACTCTTTTGGCAGCAAACGTCAAGCAAACCCTTAATGGGTTATTAATTAGGAAAATTAAAATATGAATTAGTAGAGAATTTGACACTGGATTTTTTTTCACTTTTATCTCCTGTACCTGTTATTTTGCTGTTTATATTTTTAGTAGAATCTGACATCTTGGAAAATGCAAGGACCTTTGTTTTTTGTGTAAAGAAGATCTTTTGTTTAAAAGATAAGAACATATCCCACGGACAGTAAATATTAGTGATTAAAAGGGGAAGCTCAGGTAGCTTTAAGTCAACATTGAAAAGCTGATACCACTGAAGATAATGTAAAACTCTCTTATATGACCATAATTTTACCCTGGCATCTACTATAGTCCTTTAAATCATTTTCTGAGTGATTCAGCATAAGTTGGTTTTCAAAGCTGCTAAAAATGTTAGTGTCCACTGAAGCTAGTGCCAGTAAAATGAGGTCGTTTTTATTTACAAGCTGAACTTGAAGTATTTGGCTTTTGCTTCAGTATGCTTGGCCTGCAGGACTGACAGTCAGGTTTATCCTAGTTGTGAAGTAGTTAGAATACCAGTAGAAATAGTAATAGCCTTAATTGTCATTTTTATATTAAATGGAAAAAAAAATACTTTCTTTCTAGATACATTGGGCATGAGGAAAACTAGCTTAAAGCTAAAAAGGCCTTTTGTTTGTAAGTGTATTCCAAAAATGTATTTTCCCTAAATGCAGCAATTTTAATCTTCTACGCTCATCTTTTTGCTAAAAGTATAAGCCATTTTCTTACTGAGTGCAGCAATTTTAATCTTCTGCACTCATCTTTTGCTAAAAATATAACCCATTTTCTTAGTGATTGTTTCAGGATGTCAGTTTGAAAATAATTGTGTGTATAAAGTTAGCAAGAAAGAGTACTCAAGAAAAAGAATAAAAAGCAGCCATTCATCTGGTGAGCAGGTTAATTCTGAGGTAATTTATTCTACTCCCTTAATTTCTTGCCTAGACAAATTGAAATTCTCTATGCGGTGTCCTTGAAAGGAATCTTATCCCGGTTGTGTCAGTGCAGGCTCCAGGCACTGTGTGTTTGGTCAACAAGCAACAGTGGGTGGTCAGGCTGGAGCACAGGACAAGGGCCCGCTGTGCACAGGAAAAAATGTTCAAAGGTGTTTAAGGGTGGTAAGGAAGTCTGCCGCCCTTCAGAGAGCCCGGGGGCCGTAGATCAGTGTTCCCTCACTATTGTAGCCTGTGAGAAAATCCCCTGTAAGATGCAGAACGGATGAAAGAATACAGTAACTGCATTCACCTGGTTGCACATCTGTACAGTCGTCTTCTTTTCTGACCCTTGCTCATGCACGAGCTGCGTTTATACAGCTAGTCGGTGTAATGACTAATGCTTGTCTTGCCATGGAAAATCGGATTGGAAAGTTACCCAAAATGAAGTTTGTCGCTTGTCATTAAGATGCTTTGTTTTGTTTTTCTGTCGTTCCAAACATACTGGTCCTATATTATCCCCTGGTAAGTCAGTAGCTTCTTCAAAAGTCTTTTCAAGAGCTTTAGCTGAATGTTATATAAATGACATGACGGGCTTAAGGAAGGGAGGTGAAAGGCCTGACTCCCAAAAGAAGCCTCATTCTCTTAGACTGCAAGGAAGTAAAGAAATAAGCAGAGTGGAGAGTTACGGAACGATGGACAGGGCAGAACAATTTCTACGCACGGTTTCAGAATAGTTTTGCAATATGAAAGCATATGCAATTAGGAGCCAACACAGGTGACTAAAATTATATAGAAGTAAGTGAACACCCAGACAGAGATAATGACCTCAAAACCCACTGCTAGGGGAAGGGAGAGCTTATTCTGGTGAGATCTTACTGAATTGGAACAGCAGACATGAACAAAACCGTTGCACTATTTCACATGGTGCCCGGAGGCTTTTATTTCATTTTACACACCTTTAACATATTTGTGCGCAAAAGAAGTTGAAACCCGGGAAAATCCTTAATTCTTTTTTGAAAACAATGTTAAAGCTGCTACTAATTTGATCTTTTCATGGTTTTACAGTTGTAAATGTAATAAGGATTTAATTATATTTCTGGTTTGTTATCGTTGTTTGATAGAAGGTGATAATGTAGTGCATTTATTTTTCCTGTGTGTCTTTGGTTAAATACACCTCAGACCTTAGGGTCACTGAAAGATATACTCCCTGTAGATGCTGCATCTGGGTAAAAAGCATTTCTGTAGCATCAAAGATGCCATAATGTAATGTTCATTCTGCTTATACAACATCGTAGAACCTGTAAGCACAGATTATTGATATCCTTTACTCAGATTAAAAGTGTAGAAATGGTATGCAAATCAAATTATGAATAATCAGTAAATTATTACTTGCTGTAGTTTATCTAGCTTTCTAAATATTAGTCTGGGCTGTAGACAATAATATTAATTCATTATATTACATTATGTTGCTACGTTTAAGCTCTTGGCTCCCGAGAAGGAATGAGCTGGGGACAGGAAAGAAGTTGCCTGTGAGTTAGCTCTGCCCTGGGCCCTCCCCTCAGGCCTCGGGCCTTGGTGCGCAGTCCTCAAGCGCTATCTTCTGGTCGGCCCAGAGCAGATCAGCTCTGCTAATGCACTCCAGATGTTTATGAGTCCTGAGGGTATATGTGCTGTTGTAGTTCCCTGCTGCTGTGTTATACTTGCTTGTAATGCTAGACAACCAATTAAGAAATTAGTTCATGTTAAACTTTCTTTTCCTGGTACGGCTGCAAACTGATGATGGGGTTTTTCTGGTGGAACAAGAGCGTATTCTTTACATGCATTCTGTTACTGGGGAATATATAAACCGTTTGGGCAGCGGGGTGTGAGCGTATCGTCAGCAATGCAGAATTTTCAGCTACCTCAGGCAAATGGTTTTAATTGAACTAATTGACATTAAGATGTTTTTGTAAGTACGTCTGTTGTGCTTAATTCTGAGGTTTAATGGGTACTGTCATTTTTAGAGACCATCTGTTTACAAGAAATTCCTCATACTAACAAGGTGTTTGAAGGGTGATATATGTAGACATCAAAGAGGAAAGTTTCGATGTATCACAGGATTCTTCTAAATGTAGTTTATGTGAAAATAGCACTGTTATTCTTTAATATATGTTTAAAGCAGCATTTCTTACATTTCCTACAAACGCTTTACATCTCTTTCAAATTCTGGTGTCTGTCTTTTTTTTTTCCTTTTTTTTCCCCAAACAAATAAAATGCAGATATGTTGAATCTCAGAAGTAGTTAAATTGTTATGGAAACCACAGAACTGTGTCATGAACTTAAAATTTCACAGGGTCTTCTGTACAGTCTTTTTTATATACTGGCTATAATCATTTTTAATGCATGCTCTTTCGTGGACCTTTTTTTTTTTTCAATCCTGAGAGAGAAAAAATTGTTTTGTTTCGCTTCACTTTGCAAGATTTCTGGAATGTTTTTACAGATGTCAATTACTGCAAATTTGCAGCATTTAAGATGTGTCTTAGAAGGTACGGACATTTAATTTGTAAATGCAGAAGATGCATGACCTTACATAGATCTGAGTGGGCAGTTGCATAGTACTTGGTCATAAGTAACTATTTGCATTTGGAATATATATGCCTACTTTAAAGCTTTTGATAGTTTTTTTTTTTTTCTTCTGCACTATTCTGTATTTGTTCAGTTCATTCAAAAGGCAAGATCTTTCCCCAAATTCCTGTTCAAACCTATTGCAGAGCTTGCCCATGATGATGGTGGGTAATGGCAAAATCACTGCAGTGCTTTTGATATTGCTGAAAGCTCTTCAGTTTAAAAGGTGTCATGTGTTAGGTTTAGTAAGTGACATAGGGATAAAATAATCAGCAGTTAACAGACAATATTCAATGTAGTGTTTTGTCACCACTGTTAACTATGTACCAACTGGATCTATTTACATCAGTGTTTTATAGGGTTAACAGTAATATGATGTATGTAGGAACTAGCAATGGCTCTGTAATGGCAGTATCTCAGTGAGGCCATAGTGAAAGGCCACAGGATTTTTTTTTAATTAAAAAAAGGATTATGGGAGGAGGGACTTCTTTGGAAAAGAACTGGACTCCCACACTGTCGCCTTTTGGAAGTGTGCACCTATTACTTGCACTTGTAGAGCATTAAGAAAAAGTGAAGACGGAGACAGACCAAGGAATGATATTTTCCATATGGCACTCATGGCTTTGCCTTTGCGACAGGAGTCAGTAGCAGAGTTATTGAACTGCATTGATGTAGATGGACAAATAATCCAATTAACTAGGATTAAGAATGTTTTTGCCAGATAACTTGAAACACTTCTGAGTTTAAATAGAATTCCCTAGCAATATGCAATTCCTTATCACTTTATATTGCAATATGCAATATCCTTATCAATTTATATGCAATATCTTTATCTTTTGTTTTCTTACCCCTAGGCAACTCATTGCTCCACAGCCCAATGCTAGACTTGGATGGTGATGTGCGTCCATCTCCAATTGGCCATCTCAGTCAAACTGCTTCACTGAAAAGGGGCAGCAGCTTTCAGTCGGGCCGAGATGATGGTAGGCACTTGTTTTATTTGCAAAAAGTAAATATGCAGTTACTTATGTCCAGTCTGTGGTGCAGTCCAAAACAAACAAGAACAACAAGAAGAAGACAGAGAACCACACAGAAGCCCAGAGTCTCTTTTTGTTTGTTCTGTTGGGGTGTTGGTAGACAGTAAGTCTCCAGTCAGCAGTTGGCCAATATTACTCATTGCTGTAGATTGTCTTAGTCCTCTGTAAAGGCGAATTCTGAAACTTCACTCAGATCTCTTGATAGGATCTTAAAATTCTTATTTTTTCTCACATAGTATCATTACTTACCAATAGGATCCTCTGCTTTTTGGCAGTAAAGAACTCTTCATAAGTGAAATTTGCCTCTCAAAACACAGTCTAGGTAATAGTATTCCCCCTTCCTACACCCAGAAAAAAAATTAAAACTTTTTTTTTCTCATATATGTAAGCAGCTATTTTTTCTTTGCTGTTTCTTATCATTTGTGCTTACTTGAGAGACACTGCTGTTGTGGTTGCTTTGCAGGTTCTGTAGCCAGCAGTTAGAACCAAGTTTCAAAGGAAAGCTATAGAATCACAGCACCGTAATCCCTTAGGAGCCTAATCCACTAGCAACTTTAGAAGTCGCAAAGATCCTAGACTCAGAATGAGTTGCCTCTGCCTTCAGTTCGTTTGCCCTCTGGTGCGTGTTCCTACCTAATGCCTAGGAAGAGTGAGGGCTCCACCATCTTTCTGTGGATGGAGAACCAAAATAAAACCACGTCTCACAGTGCTTCTGTAGAAGCTGCAGTTCCAAATATGTGTGGTGTCCTCCCTTTTCAGGCTGCTTGTGCACTGGTACCTTTTGCAGCTAATTTGAGAAGTGAAATCTATTTTCCTGCCACCCCCCACCATGATTCACTATGATTGTCCAAGAGATCGTTTGAGCAAATTATTTTGAATTCCAAATTGTAGCATTCAAATAACATTCAAATAACACCAGCTCTGGCTGGTGACAGAAATGTGAACAGTAACTGGCTGCTGACTGGCTGGTTCAACACAGGGAAACACCATGGTGATTATTATTTTACACCCTTGGTTTACAAATCAGTGGTCATTTTACCCTGGCTGCTGTTAGTTCCTGAAGCAGAACGAGGATTTGTAGATCATTAGATATAAAATAAAGGAAGCTCTGTGCTGACTACCACAACCAGGGATCAGAGCAGCTTGAAAGCCTGTTGCCTTTTGCTTTTCCAGCTGTCAGGTTTCTCAACAGCTTTAATATAGATTGGAGTTTCCTGTAGCTGCACAGTCAAAATATCTTGAAAGTATGTCCAGAATGTCCTTTCGATTTGATGTGTAGCTGCCTACCCCACCATATACCTGCTATCTGCCAACTCAGGAGTGAGGCAGTTCCTGAAACCATAAAAGACCTGGAAAAAAAAAAAAACCCTAATCCTCTTTACAGGTTTTATTCAAAAGTCTGTGATTTCCCTTTTCTCTAATTTGACACGAAAGCTAACAGTCTTAGATGGAACTATTTATATATCCTGTTTTGCTAAACATCATAATTAGGAAAGATTTATTTGGCAAAGTCAGATTATAGAGCAGAATTTCCCAAAGTTGCCTTTACTCTACATATTCATCAGCACCTTTGCCCTGCCTCTTTTCAGCTTTCATTTTAAGTTTTCTCCCAACCTCACTTTTACCCTCGATAAGAAGCTGATAGAAGTTACTTTTTGCCAAAGTGTAAACCAAAATGTTTTGGTAACCAGTGTACAAGGCTGTGTAAGCAGGTTGGTAAATGGGGGGGATGCACTTTTGTATGCTAATCCTGCTCGTGTTCTTTGTGTAAAAATCACATATTTTGTATATTTTGTTATGAGTTAATTGTGTTTTACAGTACTGCAGTCTGCCCTGTTTCTTCAACAAAAGAATATCAAACAAATGGAGATGAAGATGAGATGGGCAGCTTGCCCCAGGCTACAGTGGAAATTTCTCTATGAGCTGGAAATAAAGCAAATCTTCCAGTTTCCAGTGTTGCCTTAATCACAAACCTGTCGTACTAGACCTGCTTCTTCAGCACCACCACCTCATCATCTGAACCTTTTAATGTCTTAATTACTTTCATGTTACCTTTCCAGTTGGAGTGTTTAGAAAACAGAAAATCAGCTGAGTGGATTGTTAGGTGGTTTGCATTAGATACCCCTGCAGAGGTCACTTCTGCTGCCCCTTTGTGAGCATATGAGAAAAGATGAAAGAACTTGTGTGTCTACTAATTGTGTATGTGTACATGGGCCAGGCAGTTCAGTTTTTCCACTCTTACTTGAAAAGCTTTCTGTGTTTACAATATTGTTGCTGATATGCTACAAAGTGGCACCAAGCCAGTTGTAGATCTTTTATTATTAATTCAAAAAGTTATTTACCTCTGCTCTTCCCTCTGCCTCTCCTTTTAGATTGGCGATATAAAGCTCCTCAGCAAGTTGTATTTGTTGACAAGTTGACAAAACTTGTTGTAAGCCAGCTGCCCAACTTCTGGAAACTCTGGATTTCATACGTGAATGGAAGCTTGTTCAGTGAGGTATGGGTTCTTGCATATAAATCACTTCTAAATAACAAAACTCCATAATAATTATCTGTTTGAAGTATTGTACTTCACCGTCCAGATTTGCTGGACTCATTTTGGTCGAGGAGGTTTGTGAAACAGTTTGTAGACACTTAGGCATTCTGAGCTACTAACTCCAGGCCCCAGAGTTGCAAAATACCCAAAACCCAGAGTGGTGCATGCAGACACACTCTAGACAAGTGAGTCTGAAAGTAAAATAGATAGTCAGCAGTCCCTGTCCTTCTGATTCAGATGACTCAATTTTTATACATTCTGTAAATATAATGCCAGTACTCACAGAAGCAGAAAGTATACTTAAAAAAAGATCCATGCCATCATGCGTCATTTTCATATGTATGGTACTAACAGATTTTAAATGGGCATATTTCATAATTAACTCAATATAGTTAGTATACAGCCTACTACCGTAATCATTATCAGATGGATAAAATTGCTTTTGTTTTTGTATTACTGTATAATTTGGTCACAAAAATACAGTATCTTTTGTAGAGAGTTTGCTTCCAGTACTCAAGCCACTTTATTTCTTCTCCAGAAGAACTGTAGCTCTGAGATATTTCCAAGGAGTCTTACTAGGAAAAATACATGATTTAAATGTGGGAAGGGATAGCTATCCATTACATCAGCTGATTTAAAGGCATAGGTAATACGTAATCTGCACAGCTATCACTGAACATTCTTGTCGACTGACGGTTGATGTCATTGTACATCCTATAAAATGGTGAAGACAGGTCTGTAAGGAGAAGTAATGTCAACTGGGGTAACAGGAAACACAGAACACAAGCAAGCTTTTGGATAAATGTGCTCTGCAGATTGGCTTCTGTTTTGAACCTAAAAGTCTATACATATAAAGCCTCTCTGTTTCACTGTGGCTGTGTCACTTGGTCTGTTAAGATAGTCTTTAATTTGCCATCCTTACTTTATCCAGCTGTACCTAGATCCTTAAAAATGACAGCTACACTGTCATACCAAAAAGTTACCCTTAAACCAATGCTAAAGCCCCAACTAACTGGAAGTCTTTGCAGCTTCAGTAAAAATTAAAATATCATTGGAGAAGGAAATTAAGAAGATTATTTTGTCATTTTCCATGCTCTCTGACAAATCAACAAATTAACTTTTTAAGCTATCATTTTATTTATCCCTGCTACCTGAAAAGCAGTAAAATGTTTTCATTTAACGATACTGCTAATTACTTTAGCCCTGTGTATGCTGAGTAGAATATACAGATTCTTATAGTCCCAGTGAATAGATTCTGTGCATTATCCTCATGTATTACAAATGATAAAATCAAAAGGTACAAGATTTATGGATAGCATTCAGTGAAGCAAGGAGAATCACAAATAAAACTTAGTATCGTTGATTTTCCCAATCATCATTCATTTCATAAGGGAAATGACAGCCTTTGTTTGGTAACAGTACTACTGGAAATAAAACCTGTAAGTTATGCTGAGTTTTTTCTCTACAAGTACAATGAAAAAGAATGCAATTTCTAGAGGAACTAGAAAAGCATTTTGAAATGTAAACAAAGTTGGAGTTATCTTATGAAATCCCTGATCAAAACATTGCTTCTGTGTAAGAAAGGAAGAAGTGATATTTGTGTTGGTGCACTCTACTGCTGTTGGGCTAAATTCTGAACTTTGAAGAATTTCACTCCCAGCTGCTTGATTTCTTCTGTTGCTTTTGTCCTTTTGGAAGACCTAGGCAAAATCTTGGGAAAGGAAGGAAGGGCTGTGCCCTCAGGTCCTTCCAAGTGCTCTGCATTCCACAAATCAACTGAGAAAGTGTGGGAGGAGGGGACAGCATAAGCTAGAAAACCTCTTAAAAAGCATCTAAGACTTTCTGTCAGAGGACCTTATTCATGACACAAGGTTTATATATATTTCAATACAGATTTTAACTGTCCCCGAGGAAATTCCTTTAAAATTTTTTCTTGCTACTTGTTGCCCTTCTGGAAGCAAAACAATTGCTACTGTTTTGTGGGAAAAGTCCTGTGAAAAATGGCTTACAGGGTCATTTCAGTTAACTTCAAATGTCTTGAGGACTTGAATCAAAAACAAAGCACAAAAAATCCCCAGTTATAAATAATAAGCTGTATTTATTTTGTCTTGTTCACGTTGTAGAGTTTATTGTTTTCTGGGGGTTTTCTTTTTGCTTCTGAAAGGTTAGCTATCTGCCTTGATATATTGTCAGTTAAAGATATACGTGATATTTCCAACAGTTTTAGAAGTTTAGTTCTTTGAATCACTCTAGGTGAAGTAGCATATGTGAATAGTAACCGTTGGTCTTACCACAAAATAGTTTTGGTCTGTCTGTGCAGGAAAGGTTTAAGACTGGTCTTCAACGAAACCACCCAAAAAAAAAAAAAAAGTCTATCAAAGATATCTGTAATTTTTGTTGTTCTTTAATCCAACTATAAAACAGTGTGAATTTTAAGATGCTACCTTAACATGATTCCTTTAAGATTTAAAGGAATGCAAGCTTTTTATTATGCTGTTGAAGAGAGAAGTGAGTATTAGACTCAGCAGTAATTCTCGAGAATTGTTTTCCTTGCCTGAAACCGTGCTATGCAGAGCTTTAAAGTACAACAGACAGTTTCATTGCTATGTAATTTCCAAAACTGTCATGCAGCTGTAGTTTTATTTTTTTCCTCTAATTTATACTGACTAGAAGTGATTAATTTTACCTTAAAAAAAAAAAAAAAGTTTTAGCTACATAGGTAATTGGAAAGCTACAGCATTTAGTTAATGACTTGAAAATATACTGTTTTTTTTTTTGAGGAAAATTAATTTAACTACAGTTATGCTATTACCCCTTTTGTCCAGTAGATGTTGCTGTACATACATAAAATTAGGAGATCCTCTCATTGTAACATTTTACATTTACACATGACCCAGTATTTTAAATAACTTTTTCGTTATAATTTGCTTTGTGTTCTCAGTAGACTCCACTGAAGGTTAGAACTACAAACAGGAAGAATATTAGTCAAACCATGTTTTTCATCAACTGTAACTGTCTTATGCAAAGTTTACTCACGTTCCTCAGTTTTCAAAAATGAGAACTGTCCATCAAGATGCTGATTAGTTTGCACTCTCTTTTGCAGTTAATTGAATTATTGAAAGAGAATTTTCAGCAAAATGCTGTTCCTTAAAAAGACAAGCAACTCCCCCACCTACATGCTGTAGCTTCAAATTGCCCTCATTCCAAGGCACATCTTTCATTTTACATCAGTGCCCTTCTCCAGGTAGCTTCCATGCTGACAACATAATAGTTTCTTCATATGAACTTGATGCGCAGTTGAACTGCACAGTTTAGATCTCATTAACATTCTAGTGAGAATACTTTGACCGTGCTAACTTCCTAATATTTGCCAATACACTGCTATTCCAAATATACTGCCATTATGCTATGCTTTATCCTAAAGGGCTGTTTTTCCAAGGATTAAAGATTAGCAGACCGACCTGCTATATGTGAAGTTTGTTGCTGTATATGGACTTTGCTTGTTGAAGTGTCATAGTTTGACAGGGGGGGAGGATTGTCAATTTTTTTTTTTTTTTTTTTTTTTAAGTACATCATTAACTGAGTGAACAGTTTTCACTTCTTCACTTTGAAACCCCTTTTTCAGAATTATTTTCAACAGTGGTTATGAGATACTTACACTTTTCAATTTTCTCATTTTCACAAGACTGCTGAAAAGTCTGGCCAAATGGAAAGATCGAAGAAAAACGCTAGGCAAAGACAAAATGATTTCAAGGTAAGCCCTGGGGTAAAAAACTTGCTTTCTTCAGTAGTCCTACACAGAAAGATTCCCGATTTGAAGATCGGATTTCTTTAATAGTCTGTTCCATGCCGGATACCCCAAGTTATGGGACTTTTCTCAGAAATATTTTTCAGCTCTGCCAGGAAAAAGCCACAGTCTTCTCTAAATGGTAGCTCTCTTGCACAGAGCAGTGTCTGCCCTTAAATCCATCTCCCCTACTCTTTCTCTCCTACTGTGTCCCATCTTTTGTGTATGGCAAGTACGCAGTCAATCGAACATATTCGGAGAGCTTTTACTTTTCCTTATTTTGTTCCTCCATTGTTCTGTTGCAGAAAATGATCCAGGAAGTGATGCACTCGTTGGTAAAACTTATCCGTGGAGCTTTGCTTCCATTTAGTCTCAGAGAAGGAGAATCAAGACAGTATGGTGGCTGGGAGCTGAAATCTGAGCTTTCTGGCCAGTGGTTAACACATGTTATCCAGACTGTAAGGTAAATGGAGCTTTTTATCTACAGTGTGGTGCTACTCCTGGAATGTGTATGCTTAAAGTCAAATTGTCTTTATTGCATTTTAAAACCTATTGCATCTCTGCAATAGGTCTTTCTTGAATTGTAGTTTAGCTTAAAGTTGTCTCATTTAAGGTGATACTCCTTATAATGTCATTTTACTTAGGCAATTTTGTTCGTTAACATAGTAATACATGCATCATTAATTGCAAAATATTTTAGTAAATTTATAGAATTGGCTTCCATTTGTCTATTGAGGCCATAAATACTGTCAATATATTTCAAAAAGTATATAGTAACAGTAATACCTGTATATGGTACAGCACTTTTTATCTGCGGATTTGAAAGCAGACAATAAATAAAGCACAGAGTGCAAAGAGAAAGGAATCAAGTCATGCGCAGAGAGTGTCTATGGCAAATGGAGCTGGCAGTGGCACCTGTTAAGTCTGCTTAACATTTTCCTGAACACTGTTGTCAGTTGTATGAACTGTATGTTAACCATTCAGAAAAACAAACTGCACATTGCAATTTTTTCTTTAGCTGAATTTTATGAAAATTCCAGTTTAGGAAGGGGTGGATTTGTTATTTGATGAAAAGCTGTCGGGGGCAAAAGGAAAATGGTTTGACATCAGTATTGCCCTTTTATGAAAAGCAATCAAATTCCGTTCAGCTTACAAAATTCTAAAATGTTGTATTCTAAACTTTAAATTACACAAGAGTGGTGTTGGCTTGCAAGTTTAACAGATTCTTTGAGTGTTAGTTCTGTTCTAGAATCCTGCCATCCAAAGTATGAGCCAATTTTAGGTAATAGGATCTTTATGTCTAAAGACTCTTTTCTAGGAGTATCCCACTTGTCTTATGGCCACTGCTCTGGTGATAAATACCAGAACTAGGGGCTGGGGAATTTCTCTTTTCCTTTCACTCTTTTCCCACCTCATGTTGTTACTGAAGCCTGTGCTGGCCCTTTACAGGAATGAGCTATAAATGCAAAGTACTCAAAAGTAGAGAAGAACAGGGACAATGGAAAGGACGCCCTGAACACCTTGTTTGGGTATGGAACAGTGAGGACAAGGTGTGCAGGTAGCAGAGCTCACCTTTTCAAGCCCTAGCATTTTTTGACAAGCTGATAAATTCCTGGGACTCCCACTGTCAAAGACTGTTCTCGTGAATCATCTACATATTGGATAAAAATATATATTTTTTGCAAAGATATGTAGTAGCTTTGGTCTTATTGTTATAACTTCCAACATATAGTCATTATGAAGGACATGGTAAGATTTTACTGTTTTATCTCACAAATTGATTAGTATATTCTGCTTATATTCAAGAATGCTAAATTAGGGCTATGCAATATTAATTTCTTTGCTTATATATATATGTGTGTATCACACAGCTTTACATGGGGTTGCATTTAAACTTATACCCCATTGTCACTGTACAATAGGGGTAGGTACTAGAGGATAAACGTTATTTGCAAGACCTTTGCTTCATTGTGGGGATAAAAAGACGATATATTTTGTAGGGCAAGTGATATTAGAAAATAAAGATCTGACGGTTGTGACAGCTAATGCTCCCTTGGGAAAGAAATCAACTCTTAAATATAGAACTTTTATACAGTCTAAAGTCACTTAAGCTACTCACAGGTGGCTGCTACTTATATTTTCTTAGCTGACTGAGATAACGCAGATTTATATGGTCTATTAATTCATTAGTAGTGCTTAGTAGTTGGGATCCAAATAGCATTTTTTTGGAGTTATGACATTGCTGACTTGGAATGCAATTAGGTGTTTTATTTGATGGTTTACGCCCAACACCCAGCGTAAAGAACCAGAACCTGCAGGGAGATGATTAGAAACATTCCCTTTGTTCTTTGGCAATTTCTAGGGCATGTACATTGCTTGTGTAGCAGCAGAAGAAAGAGCAAAAGCTGCATTTGAGTAATCCTTGCTTAAATATTCAAGTGTTAATAAAAGCAGTAAGCTTCATTTTGTGTCTGTACTAGAGAGCTGAGTGCAGCTGCCGCCTTTTAGTTAAATGCTCAAATATTATTCCTTGTAAGCAATGACTGTGTTACGAGTCCTGCATGAAAGAGTAGAAGAGTATTTCCATTCTGCCATACCATAGCCAAAAAAAGTTGGCATGCAGATTTACACTTTAACTTCATTTTATTTGTTTTTCAGGCTTAGCTCTGAGTCTCTTACTGCCCTTGAGATACCCAATGATATGCTTCAGATCATCCAGGATCTTATTTTGGACCTTCGTGTGCGTTGCATTATAGTGACCTTACAACATACTGCTGAAGGTAATAAAAGGATGCAAGTCTCTATGTTTACTATTCTGATGGCACTTGTATTTTGCATCTTGCCTTAATCTGATGGATAGGCTAGTTAGATCTGTCTCCTCTGGGTTGGTAACAGTTTTAAAATACAGCTGATTTATCTCCTGATGCAGCTTTTTCATATTGGAAACATTTTCTTTTTTGGAGTCGTTCTATAAAAGGGGGAGAAAAAATACCAAAAGTTCCTCTAATATTTTAGTTGTGGTTTTCCCAGGAGCTTTTGCTAATGGTTTGGTCTCTCTATTGTTACACAGCTTTTGCCATAAATACTTAGATTTTCAAGGCCAATAACACATTCACTACATCTAATGCAATCTGGTATGCAATAGAAGCCGTACTTCCTTTTTAGTATATATTGTTCTCCCCCAAAACTTGAATTTTAATGAGATAAGAAATAAACACATCTCTAAAATCAGGGCAGAGTTGTTCACTAATTTACCTGGTAGTCTTTGGGTTCTCTCCCCAAAAGCTAATAACCCTGACCATTCAAATATTATGTCTTTTTTAATATTTATGTGTCTACAAATTAAATTTCCAGCTATGCACTTTTTTTACTGGAGCTAGTACTTTCACTAGCCAGTGTTTTATTATATACCACAGTCAGGTGTTACTTTGCGCTTCCCTTTGACACATCCAAGGGATGTATCAAAACTTCAGCTGTTAACCAAATATTGAATAATGTCAGGCCATTCTAATCCCTGTAGAACCTGCCTATAAACTCACATGTTTCTTGTTTATTCTATATGACCAATTCCTTTGGGGGATCACCCGCTGTAGTTTCAATATAAATTTTAATCACAAGATCACAGAATGGTTGAGGTGGAAAGGGACCTCTAGAGATCATCTAGTCCAATCCCTGTTGCATATGATTTATACTTATATTGAAGTTTGACATATCAAGCTAAGTGTCAATAATAACAGCCCTCCTGAAGTGCTGCTTCCCTCTCCAGTTCTATGTAATGGCCATAGCATCAATCAAGAGAAAGGAGAAGATGCAGGCCTATATGGTGTTTCTTGCTCCTTATTGCTGCATTGTGTGTATTTATCTCCAAGTCTCATTTGTTCTTCACCTACTGAAGCTAAATTGCCTAAGTTGAATGTGTTTAGATTTTTTTTCTGGGCAGTATCAACTGGGTCCTTGGAGAAACTGTTACTTTTAGGGAACTAGTAAAAGAACACTTAATGGATATTTTCATGGAACTACCTATATGGTTTGCAGATATGATAACCTGTTGTATATTGGTCAAAAAAAGGTTCCTTCTGGACTTGACTCTCCCTTTATAACCTCTCTGAAAAATGAGTTGCACAGAGTACTGATAAAAAGTTCAGCCTCATCTCTTACTGTGCATTATGGGCTGGTAGAGGCATTCAGATCAATCACAATTTTTCATAGAGCGCTCACCGCTAGCTGCTTAAATAGGGCACATCTGCCCACGCATTGGGTTTTCTTGTTTTATGATAAACAGTATATGCTCATGCTGCCTCTGAGAAGCTATCGATGTTCTTTCCCTTGCACGTACGATCGCTGGTCATAAAGGTCATGAAAGCCAAATTATGTGAACGCTAGATTAGGCAGTGGGTTTACGTGACTTTACTTGCCTGGAATTTGGTGAACACTGGTGTATGAGAAAGAAATGTAGTATTTTGTGTCTGTGCTAATTCAGAGAATTAAGAAGAATGGTAACAAAAGCATTTAAAGGCTGACCAGTGTAATCCGAAGCCTCATAAAAATTATCAGTTGGATAGGAAATGTACTAAATAGGAAGCTGAGCACAGTAGTTGTTCCACACAACCTCTTTAATGCCTTTTTTCCTCAGTAAGACCATATTTACATGGAATAGAGAACTGCAGGATTTTGCACCTTGTCCAAACTACTCTTAATTTAGCTCCTTAAAGTATCAAGTAAAAAT